AACTTCACACCCCTTTTTAGCTTTTACTTAAGATTTACTTTGTGTGTGTGTGTGTGTGTGTGTGTGTGTGTTGCTCAGATGTATGTCTGTGTACCACATTCAGTCCCGGTGGCCTCAGAGTTCAGAAGAGAGTGCCAAACCCCCTGGAACTGGAGTTATGGAGTAATGGAGAGTTGTGAGATTTCCTGTGGGTGCTGGGACTCAAACCTGGTTCCTCTGGAAGAGCTGCCGAGTGCTGTTAACCACTGAACCATCTCTCTACCCCCCCCCCTTAAAAACCCACCAAGCCCGCTTTGCTCTGCATATGTATTCCTGAGTGTGGAGCCATCCCCTGGATCAGGGCTGACCTAACTTCCCTCCCCAGAAGCCATCAGCTGTCAGCTCCTCAGTTATGGGTCCCCTCTGTGGTGGAATGTTAAATGGTTTGATCTTGTGCAGGTCTTATGCAGGCAGCCACGACTGCTTGGGTTTACGACTGCAGTGGTCCAATCCCGTGCAGAAGACACTGTCTAATCCTGCATCTCCCAAACTCTGGTTCTTATGATCTTTTTGCCCCCTCTTCTAATATGGTCCCTGAACCTTGGGGAAGGGATTTTGATATGGACGCTCCATACATGGCTGAGCACTGCAGAAACACTTACTCTCTGCTCTTCGACCAGTTGTGTTTCTGCATCAGCCACCACCCACTGCATCAAGACCCCCCCCATGAGTCTGAGAGCTGCACTGGCCTGTGGGTAGAGAAATGTCAGAGACATGTCTTCTAAGCCACTCGGCCTACAGTACTCTGTGCACCAGGACACTCTAAGGCAGTATTAGTTTGCGGAGCTTACTAAAGCAAGGTGCCAGAGACTAACTAACTGGCTTAAACAGGATCATGGCAGCGGAGTACCTCCCAGCAGTCAGTGTAGCAGCAGAACAGCCTTTAAGGATAGCCCAGGCTAAAGGCGGGGTTATTAGAAAAGACATATGTTTATTTTGGTTTACATGTATATGTACATGCCTGCATGTCCAGATGTGCACGATATTCATGGAGGTGCCTACAGCGGGCAGAAGAGGGAGTTGAATCACCTGACTGGAGTTAGAGGCATTAATTGAAAGCCACTAGTGAGGATGCTGGGAACTTGGATCCTCTGCAAGAGCATCAAGTGCTTTTGACCACTGAATCATCTTCACAACCAATGAGGGATTTTTTTTAATGCTGGATGTTCCTGGGAGAGTCTTGATGTTGGCACCACTTCCTAAATCACTCAGTTTCTCCTCCATCTTTGGTTTTCCAAAAAGCCTTAGAAATGCAGTGAGGTCAGACAATCTCAGAGGTGTGGGTACCTTGGCAGGGAGGTGTCCAACCCTGTGTATGGATTCAGTATAGGGGCTCCTGAGAGCTCAGTGACAGACAGCCAGGTCTGATGTAGCCTGCCTCCCACCATCCAAGGCACTCCCAGGCACTGCCCCAGAGTACCACAGGGGACTGTCCAGCTTGTCTGATGTCTTGGAGGCCCCCTCCACCTCCTCAAAGACCCGGGCTGTTCGGGGCCCCTGGGTTGGCTCCCTCTCTCAAAACACAGACACCCTTTGTAGCAGTGCCCCAGCTGCCCAGTGTGGGGCTTGGTGTGGACCCAGGCTCAGTCTCCTTGGAGCCTTGAAACACACACGGGCAGCTTTAAGCAGGGCAGCTGCTGGAATTCTGGGCCCTTCTAATCGCTTGGTAATGAAGCCTTGTGTGTGATCCCCTTACATTCCTACAGGAAGAAATCAAGGAAAGTGTTCTCTAGAACACTTTAGTCTTCTCACATTTCCTCTGTGTTTTGAGGCAGCCACTGCCTTTGGGAACAGAGAGGACATCCCTGAGTCTGGAGCCCTCATAGGTTGCCCTCAGCAAGATGAATGTACAAAGCACCCTACAGAGGGAGAGGGGCTCTCGACTTCGGAGCCTGCAGCCTGCAGCCCCCTATACTCTGACTCTCTTGGCCTTCCCCACACCCGCTCTACCTGCCATGACGCTGAGCCACGCATGAGACAAGGCTCTCCTGACTGGTCTAGCACTGGGAACCAACAGAACTCATGCGAGCCAATTGTCTGATTCTGCTAAGGGGGAATCGCGGAGTGTGACTGGACAGGAGGGGCTGGGAACAGCGCTATGGACGGGGGGGGGGCACACAGCACTGCACTTATGGGCAGTGCAGACCGCTGGGAACACTGGTGGGAAGCTGAAGGGAAAAAGACAGCGAGAGCAAAACCCATACAAAGACAAAGAGAGGGGCTGGAGAGATGGCTCAGAGGTTAAGAGCACTGGCTGCTCTTCCAGAGGTCCTGAGTTCAATTCCCAGCAACCACATGGTGGCTCACAACCATCTGTAATAATATCTGGTGCCCTCTTCTGGTGTACAAGCATACATGCAGACAGAACACTGTATATATAATGAATAAATAAAATTAAAAAAAAAGAAAGACAAAGAGAGGGTCAGGAATGAGACTGGCCTGTGCTGGGAGATGAAGGGAGAGGGACAGAAGGACCATGAGTTCAGGCCATAGTGGGCTGTGTGAGCAGGCCAAGCCCTGACTAGACTGGGGCCAGGGCATGTCCCTCTCAGGAGAGAGGCTGGTTTTAGTAGCTTACAGATCCCGAGCTCTCTCTGACTCACACTTGTCCTGCTTAGGCCCAAGAACCAGAATCTCAACTTGAGCCAGGCCTGCCTGAGGTGGCTAATGGGGAAGGCCCTGTAGAAGTTTGTCATGGAGGTCTCCCTTGCTGCAAACGGTTCAACCTAGGCCTAAACCTCAGGAGTGATCATCGGTGACATAGTAGACATCCTAGAATTGTGCTTCTATTGACCCCAGCTATTGCCAGCTACATGTCACCAAGAACTAAACCCCAACATCCGTGTCGCCGGCTCCACCCGTTCTTGTGTGGTCACTAGGTTTTGCCATCTCCCCAAGGGCTTCTTGCCTCCCCCAACTGGCCTCATGGTTCCAGGGAAAACCCTGCTCTCTCTGCAGTCGTGTGCTGAGGAGGAGACACAGCATGGTTTAACAAAAAGAATGTTTTTTCTGAAAAGTGAGCTATTTGTAGCCCAAGTTGGTTGAACAGATTTTTCGTGGTGTGGCTTATTTTTTTACTCATTAACTTCTTTTCCTTATGAATTAAAAAAAATAGCATTTCCCCACGCAGGAGTCTTTTGTTTACTTCTCTCTGTACTACAGCCAGCACTTGTGACAGCAGGCAGAGAAGGTGCCCACTGGGAAGGCGGCTTCCCTTCAAACCATAGCATCTTGAGCAGGTAAATGCAGGTGTCCAGGTCCCCATTCTGCCTCCCCAGCCCTGATGAAGCCCACAGAGCCGCTGCTAGTTATGCTTTCAGATGGGGGGGGCAAAAAGCCAACCAGGGGCTCTACTCAGACCTCAGCCCCTGGCTATTCTGGCCAGGGCCTATGACCTTTGTGAGGCTCACTCTGTTCACACGGCAGAACTGATGTCTGGTAATGCCTTCGTGGCCTATTTTCCTGATCTCAGAAATGTCCCCGGTGCATACAGTGTCTGTTCAGTCACAAGTGTCACTCCTCCTCAGCACAATAGGTACCCCTCCCTCTGTGGATGTCTTGAAGCTGTCCCCAGAGCCATAGATGGCCAGGGTCCCAGTACAGGGAGCAGATCTCCAACTCTCCCCCCCAGGCTGAGGATCTCAAACACCCTCGGGGGTATTTACATGTGGTAACAAGCCAGGTGGCCCCTACCTGCATCCTTCAAAGCATGACTCTCAGGCCTCAGTGACACAGGTCCGTTCATTTCCCATCATGCACCGGTCTCTAGCCCAACTCCATATCTTTGACATACACTTACCTTTTAAAAAACCCTGTTTACAGGGCACGATTCACTCATTCATCTCCCATCTTCAGAACTGTTTTACTAATCTTTCTTTTTCTTAATCATATTTTGCGAAGCTCAGTGTCAAGGGCTCCTATAATCTAGTCTCTTCTACACACAGCCTCTCTCCCCTGTCCTACACTCCCCCCAGGGCCAAGTGAACCCCTAACTAGAGGCTACCAGGCCCTCCCATTAGAGCCCCAAGGAATATTCTTCTCTTCTCCCACTTAGTCTGCCACCAGGGTGACAGTAACAACTAGCATGTGCTAAGTGACCTGCTGCTCCTTCATGGGTTTCTGCAGACTCACAGAACTGATGAGTGCCAGGCTCAGAAGCCCTGGCACTTTGAGTGTGAGTGCCACTCCCTTAAACTGCCATATTCCTTTATCAGGGTTGCAAATTCCCCAAAACTCCATGAAAAAATTCAACGGTAAGGTCAAACCCTAAAGGTGTGCGGACACATACTGGAGTCATTAGTCCAGTGTTTCACTACAAAACGATTCGCGTTTGACGATGGGCACCCTCTAGATTCCAGAGAAGCGTCCCGGTGTGTTACATACTCACCCCGTCTAGTCCTGAGGCTGTGTATGAGAGGTTGGGACAATGAAAAGTCCCTACACTGCTCACAGACTCTCTGCTGAGGTATAGGCCAAAGGCACCTGGCAATGTGACGCCACGCAGAAGGTAGGAGCCATTCACACTGGGGGTCACTTAGTCCTACCAACTTATTGAAGATACAGAGAGCGCCACAGCATTTTCACGTGTAAATGGGACTCTCATCCTGCATCTGGCTTCACGGGCCCCTCAGCCCCCTTTAGCCCCTTGCCAGAGTGGTAGTTGAGGAAAGCATGCATCACAGGCCCTGAGTCTAGAGAACACCAGGGGCCAGAGCTAAAGCGAGATCGCGCCAGTCTGGTCCCACACCTCAGGTACTCCCATTTTACAGAAAAGGAGGCCATGCAACCACACCCTGCCGTGTGCTTTGCATCTTGCCCAAGTGTGTGTGCTTCTAGTGTAGGGCGCCCTACACTGTAGGAAGAGCGCTCCAGTGCTGGACTTCTGCCCAACAACCAGTACCAGGGCAGGGCTGCTAGGCCTGCCGCTCCCAAGTGCATCGCAATGCGGTGAAGAAGGGTACCTGTATTTCCCGAACTCATGCATCAGCTGCATGCAGCTGACAAACACAGTCCTGGGACAGGCTTCCACGGTGATGGAAGGTCAGAGGCCCAGGAACGCAACGGGTTCTAGTGACAGCCAAGGGAGCGCAGAGTCCAGGCTTGGGCTAGATGACAGGAAGGGGAGGGGGCGTTCCGGACTAGGCCGTGGGAATAGCCCGGCTGCTCCAGCCGGGAGAACCAGAGGCCTGGGGGGACCACAGCGGGACGCCTCAGTCCCCGCCCCCACCGGCTGCTCCGGGTCGCGCGTGGGCGCGGCGGGCGCCGATTGGCTGGCGGGCGCGCGGGCGGGGCGGGTGGTGGCGGCGCGGAGGGGCGGGTCACCCCGCAGCCGGCCTCGGCCTCCACCGCTGGTCGCCGCGCCCCGCCCGCGCGCCCGCTGCCACACGTCCCCCGCCGGTGGCCACCATGAGCACAGGATTGCGGTACAAGAGCAAGCTGGCGACCCCAGGTGAGCCCAGCGCCTGTCCGCGGGCCCGCGCGCGCCTTTGTCCCCACCGCCCGCCCGCCTGCCTCTCACCGTCTGTCTCCATCTCTCCCCTGCCCGCCGGCCCGCACCCACCCGGACCCGCCCCGCCCCGGACCACGACCCGGACCACGCAGAGGACAAACAGGTACCGCGCCGCGCCGCTCGGCTGGTGGTGAGACCCGACCGGCTGTCACCCATTGTGGCAGCGATGCTGGTGGCGCCCAGGCGTGACCCCGCCCCCGCCGGCCGTCACCCAGCCCTGTGGTGATAATCGATTGTCTGTGGGGGCAGCGCCGCCGCTCCTGGGGCTACGAAGGGGAAGAGTGGGCACCACGCCTGGTTCCCTGAGCTGCATAGTAGGGGCCTAGGCATCCCCCACGAAGGGAGACTGGGTTGAGGGCCTCTCTTCTCTGGTCCAGGGCCAGCATCTCCTTCCTAACCTGACCGGAAGGCCACGTGCTGGGGGTCCAGGGTGAGGCTGTAGTTATGACAGGCCTGGCATGGGGTGGGTGTGGGGGGGTCCTCCAGTCCCCTGAGCAGCACCCGGGGGGGGGGGGGGAGGGCTCTGCTTACCCCACTTCATGCCCATGCACCTCTGAGCTTCTCTCTCCCACACATAAGTTCATGCTCGCTAGTCCTTGGTAGGGCCCCTTCCAAGACCTGGAACTTGCAAGGCTCTCTATCTGAGTCATCCCAGTGCCCAGCACTGGCCCTCCAACCCTGGGGTACAACCAGGCCTTCTAGCCCGATTCCCAGCCTTCTAAGAGTGCCCCCTGCTGAGAAGCGGAACAGGGGACCCACCCTGTGGAAAACCAAGGGAGCCGAGGGCTGTGAAACCAGAGTGGTGGAAGTGGGTGACCCAGGGGGCTGTCCTCAGTGGCTTGAGCTAGGCCCTGTGAGAAGGAAGAAGAAAGGCCCAGCTCTGACACCGGAAGGCCGTGACGAGCCTCCGATGGAGGTTCACACCTAGCATCGGTGCTGGGTGGACCCCCGGAGTCTAGACCAGAGTGCCACGGGCAAAGCAAAAGCAGCTGGCAGAATCGATGAGCTGGAGTCCCCTGGCGGGGACATGCCCCGCCCAAGACTGATGAGGCTGGTTGGGAGGGGCTCCCCCAGGAGCCTTCCTAGAGAACTGCCTCCCCAAGCTCATCTCGGCAGGCCAGACAAAGCCTGCTGGGGACACACGCTGCCTGCCTATTGTGTCAGGGAGAGGGAAGGGGCCAGAGACTGGGGAGGCCGGGACCAAGGCATTCCCTCTGGAAGGTCCTCCAAGTCACTGGTACCTCCTGTCCATTGCTGCTGGGATGGACGGACACACACACACACACACACACACACACACACACACACACAGGCCTTCCTGCTGAAGGGTGAGTTCTTCAGGCCTACATCTGCCCATCCTCTGAGGTCAGTTAGGAACCAGCCTCATGTCATTCCTAGCCCCAGGCCATAAGGAGGAGAGCACTGGGTCAAGGCAAAAGGAGGGAGCCCCAAAAGGGTACCAGAGTTCAGGTGTCTGGACTGGGCCCCCCGGGCCTGCTGGAAGCAGCACACAGTGCCCAGGGTGGTTGGTCGTACAGGACTTAGCCAGGTCTCTCCCTTACTCCACGTGGAGCGGGGGGGGTCAGAGCAGCGGTCTGTGTGGAAGAAGGTTGTCTGTCTGCCCTTTGCCCCAAAGCCTCAAGCATGTCATTCTCACGAAGAGGTGGGCACAGCTGTGGCATACGGCGTCATATCCCTGAGGAATACTTGTTGAGCCTCAGGGACTGGAAAACCAGGGGTGCAGGGCCCCCTCCCCTTCCCCAGGCCTTCTCCAGGGACACGCAGGCTACGGTGGCCTGATTGGGTGACACTCAGACAGGTTGTGAATAGGAAAGTGAGACCTGGACTTCCTCAGAGAGTGTACCTTCCCAGTGGCCAAGCTGAGAGGCAGCCTAAGACCAGCTAGCTGTGCTTGGCATCGGGGTGTGGCCAGGGCTGTCTGTGGTCTTCCAGAGATGCTCTGGACTGGAGACACCACCTGTCTGGGTGGGTGCTGGGCTGAGAGCTGCGGCTATAGCAGTTGGAGCAGGGGAGGTGGGTGAACTCAGCCTGGAGGCTTCCCTCAGGTCAAGCAGGAGCCAGTAGCCACTTTCTGGGAGCCAGAACTGGGAGGTTGCTCTTCAGCCCTGGGATGAATGGCTCTCCTGTTCCAGCTGTGGGTCCACCCTCCTCCCAAGGTGCCAGCCACCCTCGGGCCCCATAGCCAGAGTCGGGGTGGAGGCGAGCCTCCCTGGAGGAGGGGTGGTCCCTGCCTGAGGAGGGGTGGTCCCTGCCTGTAGAAGGGAGGTCTCTTGACCCCTAGTTTAGTTTCTGCCTCCTCCCCCCGGGGTGGGGGGTGTGCTCTGATTCTAGTGGGGTTGAAAGTGAGGAAAGGTGGGTGGGTCACAGAAGATGGCTTCCCAGTTCATCAGTACCCTGTAATTCCAGGGGCTCGTGGTGCCTAAAGTAAGGGCATGTTGTGGGCAGAGGTTTTGCCGAACTGCGGCCTGACCAGGGTTTCCAAGCTAGGAAGGAAGGGGGCCATCTGAGCTCTGACCACTGCATTCCCCCACACCCTTTTGTTTGTTTTTTGAGACAGGGTTTCTCTGTGTAGCCCTAGCTATCCTGAAACTCACTATGTAGACCAGGCTGGCCTCGAACCCACGGAGATGGAGGAGTGCTGGGATTAAAGGGGAGCAACACTCGCCCAGCCTCATGCCCCTCCCCCACTCTTAACCTATGCTAAGCAGAAGGGAGAGCCAGATCCGGACTTAGTAAGGAAGGTGCATATAAAGATGCCACGCGGGGAAAGAATTCCCCCAATCACAGGCACACATACGCGTGGGAGTTAGGAAAGAGTGAGCCCCAAGGAGCGAGGAGGGGTGTGTCTGTGGGTAGTTTGGTCGCCATGGCACGGTTGGGGAGTTTTCGGGTGAAGTGCGAGGAAAGCAAAGGTGTTGGCTGGGGCCGCTTCCCGCGCGAGTGCGCGTGGGTCCGGAGCGGTCCGCAGCGCCCTCTGGTGGGCGGCAGCCGCGCGGCGTCCGGGAGGCAGGTCGGCGACCGCTGCCACCTCGCCGGCCGCCTGCGGGCCGTCTGGACCCGGCCTCGGGTGCCACGGCTGCGCTCCGGATCCACGCGGCGCCCCCGCCCGCGCGCCTCCTCTGGGCCCTGCCCTCCGCAGTGGTTTTCTCAAGGCTCCGCCTGCGGCCCAATTTCCAAGCGACTGTTTCCCGGCGACGGCAGGCGGGGCGGTCCCCGCCACCGCTGTCGGGAGCCCGCGAAGCCCCGCCTCGGGCTCCAGTGCGCGAGCCGCTGCTGAGCCTCTACGCGGCCACAGCTCGCGGCTGAGACAGGGGGATGGCTCGCACGACTTCTGAGGTCAGCGGCCTACCAGGTAGGCGACGCTCCCTCTCCCGGCCTCAGTTCTCGTGTCTTCAAAACCCGAGCCAGAAGAGGGCTTAAGAGCAAATTTACCCAGCGCGAATCGCTCGAGATCGCTGGCCCCGACTGGCCTGACCCCGGTGTAGGGTCGGAACAAGGCCGGCAGGGCCCGCAGGGTCTCCGCGATGGACTCGCTGGCAGCACCCCAGGACCGCCTGGTGGAGCAGCTGCTGTCGCCGCGCACCCAGGCCCAGAGGCGGCTCAAGGTGTGTGTGTGTGTGTGTGTGTGTGTGTGTGTGTGTGTGTGTGTGTGTGTGTGTGTGTGTGTGTGGAGACAGGGTGGAATGTGGGTCATGTGTGCACGCGCTTGGCCAGGACATCCAGCTACGACAGAAGGTGGCAGGGGCTCCCAGGGCCGATGTCCACTAAGATGGGTGCAGGCACCGCAGACCCTGCGGAGGGGGAGGCTCGGTACTGCAGTCTATAAATAGCCCAGGCTCGGATGCTGCTTCAAGAACCACCACCCCCAAGCTTGGATCTGGGCCAGACAAACCACCCACCCCGGATACTCTGGGGATGAGTTTGTGCTGAGGTCTGGCTGCTTCCACCTTTGGAGGTCCTTGAATGTGTCTGAGGGGTCTCGGGACTGATTCCCACCACCAGTCTTGGGTCTCTGCTGGGGCTGGGGCAGGGGTACTTTTCCTGCCACCCCCCCCACACCTACCTACCTCCTTCCAGCCTGTGCTCTCCCGCCCTGGCCCCATTTTTGCTGAGGAAGTGCCCTTTGCTGGGGCTATGCTATCTGCTCATCTGAACCACGTAGGAGACAGGGTCTTGGGCGGCCACCAAAGATCTGGGATATGCCCCTGACCTGCCCCATTCCCACCCCTGCCCTCAGGACATCGACAAGCAGTACGTTGGCTTTGCCACGCTGCCCAACCAGGTGCACCGAAAGTCAGTGAAGAAGGGCTTCGACTTCACCCTCATGGTGGCCGGTGAGTGACCAGACTTCTGGGTGGAGCCTCTGAGGCCACGGGCCAGCCCAGATCTAACTCAGCTCTTTCACTGTTCCCTGTGGCCAGGTGAGTCGGGCCTGGGGAAGTCTACTCTTGTCCACAGCCTCTTTCTGACTGACTTATACAAGGACCGGAAGCTTCTGAGTGCTGAGGGTGAGTGGCCGCCGTACAGTCCTCACTAATGTGTTCATGCCGCCCTGAGAAGCCTCACAGGCACCCTTCCACCTTGCTTGAGGCACGGGTTCCTATTTGGGGGCAAGGAGGACTGACCCTGAACATAGAGTCAGGCTGAGATTGAGGCCAGGGCACCAGGGTGGGTAAGAGCAAGGCTCCCTGCTGCCCACCCAGAGTGAAGGTGAAGATGCCTACAAACACTGCCTCTCCTCTCTCCCTCCCTCCCTCCCTCCCTCCCTCCCTCCCTCCCTCCGCAGAGCGCATCAACCAGACAGTCGAGATCCTGAAACACACCGTTGACATTGAGGAGAAGGGAGTCAAGTTGAAGCTCACCATTGTGGACACACCCGGCTTTGGGGATGCCGTGAACAACTCTGAGTGGTAAGGAACAGACTCCCTCCCCAACCACCACTGCCTAGCTGCTGGCGGAGCTGGCTTCATTCTTCCCCCACCTTTAGTTGGAAGCCCATCACCGACTATGTGGACCAGCAGTTTGAGCAGTATTTCCGAGATGAGAGTGGCCTCAACCGAAAGAACATCCAAGACAACCGGGTGCACTGCTGCCTGTACTTTATCTCCCCCTTTGGACATGGGTATGTGGCATTCCCGATGCTCGGCTCAGAGGCACGTTCCTGTCACTGCCCTCTGACAGCACCAGCCTCCATGCTGTCCCTGCAGATTGCGGCCAGTGGATGTGGGTTTCATGAAGGCCCTGCATGAGAAGGTGAACATCGTTCCACTAATCGCCAAAGCTGACTGCCTGGTCCCTAGTGAGATCCGGAAACTGAAGGATAGGGTGAGTCTTGGATAGCTAAGGGGGGCCTAGCCAAAAACTCCAGGGGAGCTGGTCTGTGCTGAGTCTAACAGCTCTTGCCCTAGATACGGGAAGAGATTGACAAGTTTGGGATCCACGTGTACCAGTTTCCAGAATGTGACTCGGATGAAGATGAAGACTTCAAGCAACAGGACCGGGAACTGAAGGTGAGCGCTTAGCCAGAAGGGGTGGGGGCAAAGGAGGTTGCTGGGACAAGCACTAGAGGCCACGTAGCCTGGGGGAGGGGCGGCTAAGCACCCAGGGCCAGCAAGATCAAGGAATCATTTGTTCACAGAAAAGAGGGACTACGCCCCTGTCCCAAGGGCTGCAGGTTAAGGTCATAGACATCGCTGTCTAGTCTGCAGTGGATTCTTTGGACCTCCCCTGGGCTTACTAGAGCACTTAACTGGTACCATTCTGGCCCGCTTTCCAGGAATCAGCGCAGTGGCTCAGAGCTGTGTCGAGCCCTTCTTGCTGAGATTCTGAGCTCTGGAGGGAGGGTGGGGGGCGGTGGCTTTGAATGCCCCAGAGACTAGAATCGATGAAAGCAAGCTAAGCCATGAACTCAGGAGTAGATGGACAGGGCCATCCACCGGTAAGCGTGGTCTTGGCTCTGACTTGAAAAATGGAGGAAGCTCGGGGAAGCATCCGGAGCCAGAGAAGTGCACAGTCTGGCAGAAGTCCCAAGGCTCTGAGCTATGCCGAGTTTGTGGCTTTAGTGGGTAGCAGAGGCACCAGAAGAGGGGCCATGCCAGTTGGAAGGGAGGTAGCGGCCGGCCATGCTGGAATGGCCACGCCCCCTCAGCCTCTCACAGCACTGGGCTGGACTGGGTCCCTGCTCCCCCTTCCCCAGGAAAGTGCACCCTTCGCTGTTATCGGTAGCAACACGGTGGTGGAGGCAAAGGGGCAGCGGGTCCGGGGACGACTGTACCCTTGGGGGATCGTCGAAGGTGAGTCGAGGCAGGGAGCGCCGGGTGCGGGAGGCTTCCGCTAAGCAGAGGCCTACCCACTGTCCGCTCCTGCCCCACAGTGGAGAATCAGGCGCACTGCGATTTTGTGAAGCTTCGAAACATGCTAATCCGAACTCACATGCATGACCTCAAGGATGTGACCTGCGACGTGCACTACGAGAATTACCGTGCCCACTGCATCCAGCAGATGACCAGGTGGGCCACTCTACAGGGGTTGACGTCCCGCCCGGGCCCTGGCGCCACACGCCCCAGAACTTTGTCCCAGTCCCTAGATCATCCCAGGAACCAGCCAGGCATCTCCCACGCTCCTAACCTGAACCTCCCAACAGCGCAGCTCTCTCGTCCCACAGCAAACTCACACAGGACAGCCGTATGGAGAGCCCCATCCCCATCCTCCCGCTGCCCACCCCGGATGCAGAGACGGAGAAGCTCATCAGGATGAAGGATGAAGAGGTAGGTGTAGGTGGACGTGGGGGCGGGGCGGGGCGGGGCTAGACCTCGGTTGCCTTTCCTCACTCTGACTTGGGTCGTCCCCACCCCACCAGCTAAGACGCATGCAGGAGATGTTGCAGAAGATGAAGCAGCAGATGCAAGACCAGTGACACCCCGCCCCAGGCCCACAGCGCCAAGGATAGAAGGCGGGTTCCCGGGCTGGCCCCTCTACCCCTGGATCCCAGATTGTCCTGGATTCTACCCTGGGTTCATCTGGATCTCATACTGCCTGGACCTAACCCTAACCCACAGTGGCTTTGACCAGACTGTTCAGACCTGAGGCCACAGATGATCCTAATTTATTCTCAGCACCCACCCTTCCCGGTCATTTGTATCTGCTTCTGAGTGGTCTGAACCACAGTCCCTCCCCAACCCCCTGCCGCCCCCTACCCCCCCACTGCGCACCTCCCGCGTGTCTTAAGGAGACAAGTTGTGCATAATCTCCAATATCTCTCTTCCTAAAAGGTCACTGCCCCAACGGGTCAATAAACCAGGGTAGAGGAGGACGTGGATGCAGAATCTGGGGCCTGTACCCAAGCTAGTGCCGCAGAATGGAGTTGGGAGGCCCCCTCTGCGGGTTCCAGTGGGCAACGGTAGTATATTCTAATGCCCTGCTGTGTGCGGAAGTAGGCCGGGTCCTCCCTCACTCCTTAACCATTCTCTGTTCAGGAGCAGAGCACATGGATTTGGAGGCTGAGGCCTTTAGGAAGACCCCAGACCTACATGCGTCTAGGAGGAAGGCAGAGGCCTAATGCGCTAGACCGCTCATGCTCCTTCCTGGGTCAACCTGAAGCATTCCAGGGGCGGCAGGAACGGGGTGTCCCTATGCCCAAACTACTTCCATATATTTTTGGGTCAAGGTCTTCCCCCTCCCAGCAGCACTGTTGCGCTGGGGTTCCGGCCCTTGGCCCCCTCCATCTCTCCACCTGCATGATCCCTCCCCACACACCCCATTCTCCCTCCGTTTTGTTCAGTTGTGAATGCCGCATCCTGTCCTGGTGACAGGAGAACAAAGTTGGTGAACGTCGCAGCGAGTGTCCGAGTGTTCCTTGAGCCCCTGGGAGCGGGCGGGGGCGGAAGCCCGGGTTGCCTGCGGGGCCTAGGCGATAGTACCCTATCTGTCGCTGCAACACCCTTGCGCGCCGGCTCAGAGTTATTTCTGGCCAGGCGGCAGAACTGTGGTCTCTGTTGCTGCGATCTCGGGCCATTGCCACTCCAGAACGAGCTGGGCTGCCATCCTTTCGCCATGGGCTCCCGTGAGTTCTGGGGTTGGGTCTGCTGCTTCCTGGACAAGAGCCACGTCAGGTGTTATGGTTTGGGCAGCAATAAGCAAAGGTTTGGGTCATACTTGAGCGGAGGGGGAGGGGGGACACTAGCCAGAGTGCAGGGTGGCCGGGGTGGAGGCTCCTGCGGACTCGCGGGACGCTGGCCTTAACAGCAGGTGGGAGCAGCCAGCTCCGGGCGATGCTCATCCCAGCGCTTCTCTTCCAGGGCCGCGCGGGGCACTGAGCCTGCTGCTTCTGCTGCTAGCGCGGCCCAACCTCCCAGCCGCAGGCTGCCCGGCGCCGTGCAGCTGCGCGGGGACGCGCGTGGACTGTGGGCGCCGCGGACTGACCTGGGCCTCGCTGCCCGCTGCCTTCCCTCCCGACACCACCGAACTGGTGCTGACCGGCAATAACTTGACGGCACTGCCGCCCGGGCTTCTGGATTCACTGCCTGCGTTGCGCGCAGCGCACCTAGGCGCCAACCCCTGGCGCTGCGACTGCCGCTTACTGCCGCTGCGCGCCTGGCTGGCCGGCCGCCGCGAACACCAGTTCTACGGCGACCTGCGCTGCGTCGCGCCCCCCGCGCTGCGCGGCCGCTTGCTGCGCTACGTGGCAGAGGACGAGCTGCGAGCGGCGTGCGCTCCCGGCCTGCTCTGCTGGGGGGCTCTGGTGGCGCAGCTCGCGCTGCTGGTCCTAGGGCTGCTACACGCGCTGCTGCTGGCACTCCTGCTGGGTCGCCTGCGGAGGCTGCGTGCGCACGCGCGCGCCCGTGCCTTCCGTGAGTTATCGCTCACAGACCGGCTGGTGGACGAGCCGGCCGGAGCCGATGCATACTAAGGACAGGCGCAAAGCGACAACGACCTGCAAACTTTGCAGGTTCCTGCTGGAGGACACTCTCCTTCACCTGGATCAGCCTCGACTTCTGCCCTTGCCCAATCTTCCAGACCCAAAGTTGGCAGACCTGAATCCACGTGGGGGCCAAACTGCTGCCAGCACCCCTGGAGTGAAACCATCCTAAGCCTTCAGAACCTCGGGATGTGGAGCAGCCAAGCTCCTTACTGAGCAGTCTCTCCCCTGCCAGAGTCAGCACTGAATAAACTTTCTCCTCCCCCTCTGGCGGTTTCTGTACCACCTGACCTTGCCAAATTCCAGAAAGGGCCTGGGGGAGGTTGCTCAAGGGGACGTTTTCATGCACAACCAAACTGGCCTAGGGCAAACAGGAGTCAGTGGTTAAAATTTCCTCTATTCTGCTGTCTTCGAGGTCATTCGCAGTAAGGATGCTGTGGACGGAGAGGTCCCTCTGGCACTGAGGAAGCTTGAAACTGTACGGACAGGCAGCTTGATACTCAGAGTGGGTCTTGTGTGAAGCCAGGGCCGTGAGAGCCTTTCCAGCTCAGAAGTTGAGGTGTTCCTGGTCAATGAGCCTTAACAGCTGTCAGAGACACATGGAGGTGACTGTGGGCTGTGGTACACTGTGACTCAGTGGGCCATCTCAGTGGGGAGTTGGACTCTGAAAGGGTAGGCAGGGTCAGGTGACAGACGTGCTATAAGGGTCTGCAGGTATAAGTTTAACCAGTCTCTGAAATATGGCCTAGAGGGAGCCAGACCTCCTCCTACACCCCTGGACCCTCCAAGTGTTCCCATTGCCTCTCCCCAACCCGCAGCAGGAGCCTCAGTCCTCCCTGACAGCACACATTACCCCAGTATCCGCCCCCTGGACTGCACGGCTGCACAGCTGCACAGCTGCCCGCCTCCTGCCTGGGCCTTCGCATATTCTGTTCCTAGCCTAGCCCAAGATTCCGCTCCTCTCCCTTCACAGCTCACTTTCCGCCTCTCCGGCAAATCTCCTCCTTCACTGCTCAGGACAAGGAGGAACTAGGTAGTCTGGTTCCTTTCTGGGTGCCCAAATGAGCAGGCTGGCACCTTCCTCACTGGAGGTACCAGGCTCAGGGTCCCCACTGCTCAGGACAAGGAGGAACTAGGTAGTCTGGTTCCTTTCTGGGTGCCCAAATGAGCAGGCTGGCACCTTCCTCACTGGAGGTACCAGGCTCAGGGTCTCCATCCTATGCTTGACTGGGTCCCACCCAGGTGCCTCCAGAAATAATGGAAGGTTTTGCTTCTGATCACCCTCACGAAGAGCCTTGGGTCTGGCACAGGAAAGCACCGGGCCTCTGACCGCCACTGACCAGGTCGGGGAGGCTGTAGATGACATGGCCTTTGTCCTGGCCTTTGTGGGACAAGACAGATGACCCTCCAGCAGGCTGATTCTATCTAGAGCCTGCCAGTCAGCGTGAGGCATAAGGTATCCCCTGCTTTGTGGGCAGGTGCAGGGCATCCGGCCCATTGTGGTCTGCAGTGAGCTGTGTGCTTGTCTATCCGGTCTTATCAGTGCATCAGGGACAGTGTCTTCTTTGTTCATCCTCCCCGGGGTGGCCTGTCACCCTCAGAATCCCTGGTTGAGGCACACAGATTAACACCTTGGAGTCAGTAGAATGCAGTGTGGGGAGGCCCGCTCCTTCTGCTTTTCAGAGGAGCCAACCAGGTCTTTCAGAATCACCTCCGCACCCATGCCCCTCTGTGGATGTGATAGTGCACCTAGAGCTGAGACAAGCTTCCTGGGGTCCCCCATCTCCCTCCCACTAGGAACCCACAGGGGCGACTTTGGGGCCTAGGAGAAAGTGACCAGAGGAAGTACACAACCCTGATCAGGACCACGAGCCCTAGCAGGAGGCGTGGGAAGGACCCAGGCTCAGTGCACCCTGCACACAAGGCTTCAAGGCTCCAGGACCAGTGTCTTGGTGAGAGGCTGGGTTTGGGAATCCTAAGGGACAGTCACCACAGAAGCAAGGGCTCCGCCGATGCAGAAACAAGGCTGGCATCAAAGTGTGCTCAGACAGAAGGATGGACCTCTCGCTTCCGGGCAGATGGGGCAGCTGTACCCATCGTTCCTCCAGGAGACCCCTTTAACAAACCCTCCATGGTCTCAGCTGCCCTCAATGGCTGGCCCTCCTAGTGGCCTGGAAATTTCTCCAGTTCCAACTCATGACCCCAAGCTGACCCTCCACGTGCTTAGCCTGGGGTCTCAGCCTCCAACAAGTGTGGGGAAGTGGATGGTCCCAGCTCAGTGCTTCTGAATGCAACACCTCCTCCTCAGCCCAACCTCCAGCATTGTCATCCACTTCAGAGACAACACACCTGCCCTGGAGTCTCCTCCCTGTCGCCAACTGGTCCCCTCTGTAGTCTGGGACTCCTCCTAGAGGAGCACAAGCCATAGGGCCCCTCTCAAAGGCCTGCATAGTACTGCTACACACATACAGACCCAGGCTGGCTGACTCTGGGCCCTTCCTTTGGGGCTCAGGAAGTCGGGGTGGCCATACCACACTGCCCACGCATCCCTTGGTCTCCCAAGACTTTTCAGCGTTAGAGCACCTTACCCACCAGCGGATCTGCCCTCTCTCCTGTGGCCTTCATCCTTATTCAAGGCTTCATTTAAACTGAGAGATTCCCAGCCTCGGCTAGTCTAACACAGGGCCGGAAGGAGCATATAGAGAGGGAAGGCCACTGTGCTGTCAGCCAGCCAATGACTGACCAAGGAGCTTAACAGATGGAGTCCCGTAAGATCACACAAAGCCACCAACCTAGGCATAGACAGAGCGGTAACCTCCCGCGGAGACCTCTGTCTCATTGTGAAATAGGCATTTGCTGCGGGAGGCAGGGGAGGGGGGCGGCTGTGACCCTCTTTATTTAGTTAAATAAATAACGATTGCTGAGCCCTAGCTTCCCCTCAAGCAACATGACCCCCGACTGGCACCAGAGGGCGCTAGCGACCCGCAAAAGACACAGCTCGGCGCTCAGCGCGCAGGTCTGGGTGAACTCTAAGGACGCCCAGGCAGTCCACCTAAAGAGCAGGGGACCGTCCAGACTGCACCAAGAAGGGTTGGCAGGTCATTCCCTCGGGGGATGGAGAGGAGGGAGCTGGAGGCCGCTGACAGACGCGGAGAAGATGAGTGCAAGCCCCCTTCCTCCTATCCTTTGGCGCACTGACAGCCGGTCAACCGCAAAGATAAGGACTTCTTCCGCCTGGCGGGAAGGATGTGGACCAGTCCAGGTGCGCCCCCCCATCCATGTTTGCTCCGCAAACATTCATTGGCCCCCCGCTGTGTGCATTGCGAGGAGGCGGGGCTGACGACAGCGGGTGCTGGACTCCTGGATGATGAGGGGAAGCTCAAAGATTCGGGGGGGGGGGAAGGCTCAGGCATCTCTCAGCCACTCTGGTGACCCAGGTAGCACTGGGGTCCTCCATGAGTCTACCATAGCCTGGAGAAACCTCGGAACTTGAATGGCCTGCTTAAGGCCATCACAAGGAGGAAGCCCTGGGAAAGGTGTGGGGTCCCCCAGACTACACCACGTAGGAGGGGGGAGGCCCGCACCCGCTGCCCAGACAGAGCAACAACATTGGGGTGGGTGGCCCATAGCTCACCGCAGCGTCTGCGCCCACCCCCAGCGTTTCCGATGGAAGACAGGCGGCTGTGATAAATCACCAGCTCCCACTCCCACCCACCCAAGGCTAACTGGTGAGCAAGAAGGGCTGCAGGGACCACGCATCACAGAGACAAGGCCTGGGACAGAGACAGGAGGCAGGATCGAGCCAGAGCCGGTCCTTGCTGGGGTGTCTGAGCTTCCCAGGTACCTTTTTCATAAAGCCCATCTGGAAACCAGCTGAGAGCCATCCCCACCCTACTGACCCCAACTGGAGGTGGTGAGCCAGGCCTCTGCAGCAACCTTCAGTCCCCCCAGGAGGACCATAAATCAGTAGGGGGCACTTGGAGCAGTGCCCCCAGTAGAGTGAGGGTCTTCAGGGGTCACTGATCCTAGTGACTAGGCCTGGCCTTGGCTGTGTCTCTCCCTCCTCCTTAAACAGCTCTTGTGGGACCTCCCAGCCCCCAACCTTCCCTGGCTAGGATAGTCAAGCCTGGAGCCCTCCATCCCCTGTGCTGCCTACAATGGCTGCTCATGCCTACGGCCCTTTTATCAAAGACAGGAAAAGTCCCAGTGAGTGATGTGTCCTCCTGAGGAGAACCCCTGTGGGCTGGCCTGTCCCTGGTCCCGAAGAACCTGTGGGATCAGCAGGTCCTCCCCAGTGAAGCTGTCCCCAAGAGTCTGCTCTGTCCAAGGAAATGTGGTCCATGCCCCTTCCATTCTGTCTTCCTGTCACTTCTGCCCAGAGTGCCGAAGGCTGGCCGGATAGAGTGCTGAGAGATGAGCCGAGGATGGCCCCCAGGTATGAGCCACCCTACACACACACACACACACACACACACACACACACACACACACACACACAGAGAGAGAGAGAGAGAGAGAGAGAGACATACACACACACACACACAGAGAGACAGAGAGAGACAGAGAGAGAGACAGAGAAACACACACACACACACATACACACACTAAGGCAAGTGTGAAGTCAGTTGGAGTAAGAGAGGCTGATGAGAGCCCAGGCCGGCTCTCAGCCCCGCAGGGCACATTCCACAGCCCTGCTGCTCATTCCCCAGCCCCCACAGAGCTTCCTTCAGGACCGCAAGTGGAGTTAAGGCCACTTGTGCACCAAGAACCCCAGATTTCTCCTGTAACTTGTCTCTGGTAGGGGTATCCCGGGGCTCCTCTGGAAGGATCTTGGGAACACTCAGGATTGTGTCTGAGAGGAACCTAATGACTGTGGCGGGCCTGGGCCTTGACCCTCAGAGCAGAGCCTTAAGTCAAGCACTAAAGACATCTCAGGAGTGGGACAGTTGGGGCTCAGATCTTTTGGCCTCAAACCCAATGAAGGTCGATACCCCAACCGGATGGGGCCAGTTGCCCCATCTCCTGGGATTGCTCTTACAGCAGTGACCCAGGGCAGGGAGGGGGCCATCTAGCTGTGCTTGTCTGCTTATGCCAAACAGATCAACTAAATAATGGGAAAAGGTTTTTACCAACTCCACATCCTATAGAGGACTAATATCCAAAATATATAAAGTATCAAAAAACTGGGCATCAAGGAAACAAATAGCGCAGTTAAAATGGGGCCCAAATCTAAACAGAGATCCCTCAAAAGAGGAAACTCACATGCCT